CTGCTGCTGCTGGAGCTCTCCTTCTGGGCAGCCTCTGTGCTGGAAGGAGTCTCTTTGTTCCTTTGCTCAGCTTCTTTCCCCTCGTCCTCCTGCTCTTCTTCTTCCCCCTCTGGCGCGTCGTCGTCCTCCCAGGGCAGGAGACGCACGGGCACTTCGGCGAGGAAGTGGCCGCAGTCCTGCTGGATGTTGAAGTTGATGGCCAGGCTCTGCCTGATGGCCAGGCTGTGGTAATACTGCTGGGACTCCTTAGCTTTGCTCTTACAGATCTGGGGGAACACAATAAACACAACAGACATAACTCAAAAATTCCTCAATTCTAGATCCCTTTTTTTTTTTTTTAATATGTATTTCGCTGATGGGATCTACAGCCTCAACCTGAACACGAGTAATGGGAAAGCTTTGACTGAACTGACCTTGGCAGACTATCTTAAGGCACAGGAACAGTGGCTAGTAAGCAACTGCAGAGCAATACATGCAGGTATCTCCCACTCTCCATAGATTATCCAGTGGAAAACACAGTCCAGGAAGGTTGTGTTTTAATTAGAACAGCAGCTGAGAGATGGTAAATGCACACTGTTACTTCTTTATCCGTATCAGTTTATTGCACATTCTTCTCTCAGCTTTGTGTGAAGCTTGAACAAGATAAAATTAATCAATGGCAACAGGAGATACAAAGAAACATGCCCAGAGTATTTGATTGCTTGCACATGGCTGAGTTAGCATGGCTAAGGGACTGGGTTCTTGCTCCTTGCTCACTGGAACTGGAACAGCAACCCAGGCAGGCAGACTGGGCTGTGGCTCACAGAAGGAATGGACACTCATTAGAACATGGCACTTTAATTGCTTTGGGTCCCTGGAACACTTTCCAGGGGAACAAATTATATTACCAACTGCATTGTTCAGGTTCATGGTGGTGTTTAGCCTGGAGAAGAGGAGGCTCAGGGGAGACCTTCTCACCCTCTGCAACTCCCTGACAGGAGGTTGGAGTCAGGTGGGGGTTGGTCTCTTCTCCCAGGCAACCAGCAGCAGGACAAGAGGGCACAGACTCAAGCTCTGCCCGGGGAGGATTAGGTTGGACATTAGCAAGAGATTTTTTACAGAGAGAGTGCTCAGGCATTGGAATGTGCTGCCCAGGGAGGTGGTGGATTCATCATCCCTGGAGGTTTTCAAGCTGAGACTGGATGTGGCACTTAGTACCATGGTCTAGTAACCACGGTAGGGTTGGACTTGATGATCTTGGAGGTCTTTTCCAACCAGGTTGATTCTATGATTCTATATTAACTCCATGTGTTCATGAAAACCTTCTGAGCAGTGTCCAGTCTAAGGTCTGGAGCCACAGCAGGGCCAAACCTTCCCTAGTATCTACTCTTCAATATGAGTTTTTGTCCTCTCTTTGTATCAATAAAACAGAATTTAAACTACAAACCAACCAGAGATTCAATACTAAATGATATGGCCAAAACCAATACTAAAATGACTGCATTAATGAAGAAGAGTTTTTCCCTCCTTATTCTGCTGTTAAAGAATATAAACCAATATAGGAAAAACCCTCTGATCCCACAAATGCCCAGCAGTGATGGACACTTCTCTTGGTTAATGCAGAGAAGCTGATGGGTACATGAACATGCAATATCTGCAAAGACAAGGGAGCTGGGACCTGACCAGAGCTGTATTTTCTGCTTCTTGCTTTTTTGTTTACAGACAGCACGGCGTGAGAAGTGGAAGAGGCAGCTGGTTATTTCAGGCAGATTAAATTGCTGACTACACAGACACTCAAATGTGTACACCAGGCACTTGGCAATTCCCAAGGGGAAGGGACAGCCAGGCTGTCCAGAGGCAGCTCCCAAACCTGGAGTGTGATAACTGATCTGACACCTGCCCCAATTCATAGGCAGTTTCTAGGAGACAAACCTGCAGAAATCTGATGTCTCTGTCTGGCTCCTCCTCAGGTGAGGTCTGGGGGTTTGGATTGTTATATTCAGACTGATTTACAAATACCTTGTTAGAATGGGGAAAACGAAAGCAGTGGAGACAAACTGAATTTTCTTATTGACCCATTCAGAGGCAGTTTACAGAACGTAAGTTTCATTTACTGACAAACTTCTTGTACTATTTTATAACTTTCTGAGCTGCAGCTTCTACTCAGAATTCTATTTTATATTACCATGTTGCAGTAGAGTAGTGAATCCTATGACTATCAAGACAAATTCTCAACTAATCACTCAGTATTGGTAAAACTCCACTATCACCTCAAATTATCATCTGAATGACCAAGATAAGCAATTTTCCAAGTGGTTTGAGTTAGAGTAAGTTATGAGACCAAAGTCTGTATTTACATTTGAAAAGATTTCAGGAACAAAGGGTGGGATTTGATGCTCCTGAGGAATTGCTGAGGGAGAGCCACACAGAGCTGCTTTTCTGTGTCAAAACTGAGTAAATACACAGCCAACCTTCCCTTCATTTTGAAAATTTTTGTCTGTTCCAGTTCTCTACCCCCAAAAATATGGAAATCCTCTTGCCTTTTACATATATAGTATGTTGAATACCTAATTTTTGGCACAGGAAAAAAAAAAGGTGGAAATACTTTGACTAAAACACCAACAGAAAGTAGGATCAATCAGTCATTTACCATCTGCTTGAATGCAATACATCCAGCTGAGCTCTGAAGATATGGTATGTGATAACAGATGAAAGGAAGGTGTTGATAAGGGCTTGGCCAGGCTTATTGCTAAAGTTGATAAAGAGCTGGTTGTTCAAAAGATGAAGCAATGCTGGGAAAAAGCCCTTCCAGATGATGCAAGAAAGCAAGGAGAAAAAGAGAGGTACAAGAGGCAAGGAATGGCAAGGATTCATCTTCCTTTTCATCAGAAAGCACTGCCATCATGCATCTTTTCCTTAATGCATCCACAGGAACTAAACTTCTGCCCCATTTCTAGGGACAGCACAGGCTTTTTTATCTCCTGCCATTTCACTTTTCCCTCCTGCTCCCAGCCCAAGGAGCAAGACTCGAATGTTCCAGAGCTTCTCCAAACCGTTCTGCATTAGCTTTTATTTTTCCTTTATGAGTCTATAGCCTACTGAGCCATCAGCTGACTTTCCTTCCCCAGCAGGGAATCTCATTGCCACTCTGTCCTGTGCATTTTGCAGGGTATCAGTGAACTCAAAGCACGATGAATATTGCGGGAAATGAATTTACAAGTGCTGGAAATGAGAACCACAAGAAGATCACAAAGACTGCACCATCTGTGCTACTTTGTTGTATTGCACAGAGGGACAACTGCAAATGAAATTCTGTGTAGAATGAAAGCTTGCTAATCCCAAATTGATAGTCTGTTCTTGGCACTACCTTGTTTTTTCCAAGGAGGCCAGTTTGATCTCTGATTGACCTCATTTTCTTGATCTGGCCTTGGAATAGAGCTTTGACTTTTTAATGATGTGCCAAAACATGGAACTCTGTTCTGCTGTGCTGAACTCAGAAGGGGAATGTACATTGCTTTGTTTTGCTCTGCAGCACGAAGCTCTGGGCCAACACTTCTGACCAGGAGCTTCACTAGGAAACTTGAATCATCAAAAAAACCACCTTAGCACACTGTAACAAATGAAATACAACTCGTCAATAATTGTCAGCTGCAACTAGAAAACTGTTGTCAGCCCAGTACTACTTCCTTCTGCAGTGCTCTGGTTTATCCTTGGGACAGGAACCTTAGCAGAAATCCTAAGGTTTTACTGCTAGAACTTCTACTGCTCTGCAGCACTCAAGGCAATCAATTTTAACGGTCCCTTTGAGCTGTTTGCACCTTTGCAATTCCTGTTTTCCTGCCTGCTGCAGGGCATGGCCAGGCTGGTTTATGGCTCTGAATCCTGCCTGGTGTGTCAGGCTGTGACATTGGACAGTGTTTACCTTGAGACTGTAATACTGAAAGTGGAAGTCGTTAATGCCACTGGCACAGTAATTATCTTGTTTATTCTGAGTCATCCAATTCATTTTTTTTAATGAAAAAGTTCCCTGTCTGATCAGTGTCTCCAGTCTTTGTGGAGACACCTCCAGCTGAGCTCCTCCAGCCTCCTGTGTGCCAGAGTTCCCTGCTGCCTCCACTCAGCATATTGGAATCCCTGATAAGACTGTGGCTTCAGGGGAATGTCTATCCATATTGTCCCACATCAACCAACCACTTAGAAGGTGAAGGAAAACCCCTCAGGCTCTAGAATTTTATGGAAACATTTCTTGTTAGGGAATTTGTACTTATTCCGTTTGAAAAAGTAGCTTTCTGATCACGATTTATGCACTGTCTTTATTCATAATGTTGCAGTCACAATAAATTCCACGTGGCTTCCTGCAACTTTTTTTTTTTTGCACAGGATGTTTACTAGCAGATTAGGTGAGAGCGAAGCAAAAAGCCTCTACAAAGCTGTGAAACAACACTCTCCTATAAACAAAGTTTCCTCTAATACTCACCCCAACAGAACAAGTTGTGCTTGTTCTCCACCAAATTTATCAGAGCATCTTTTGCTGGTGAAACCACCAGAATGCAAAAGTCCATTCACCTACACAAAAGGTTCCTTCTCCTAAATTCAATGCAGCAGGAGTCAAATGGTTAAAGCTGAATTTTTAACAGTCCTTTTGCAATTCTATTTTTGAAGACTGACTATTAAAAGGCAATTTAAAAAAAAATTCATGCATTAAGACTATTAACACTGTTTGGAGGTGAATCTCTTAGACCACCAGAATGCAAAAGTCCATTCACCTACACAAAAGGTTCCTTCTCCTAAATTCAATGCAGCAGGAGTCAAATGGTTAAAGCTGAATTTTTAACAGTCCTTTTGCAATTCTATTTTTGAAGACTGACTATTAAAAGGCAATTTAAAAAAAAATTCATGCATTAAGACTATTAACACTGTTTGGAGGTGAATCTCTTAGAATAGAATCATCATAGAATTGTTTGGAGGTGAATCTCTTAGAATAGAATCATAAAATCATAGAATCATCAAGGTCAGAGGAGACCTCTAAGATCAAGTCCAACCATTAACCTGTCACTGCTGGAACACCTAAACCCTAAACCAGATCCTCCAGCACCAGACTCAGATGCCTCTGAAATACCTCCAGGGATGGTGACTCCACCACCTCCCTGGGCAATATTCCAGTGCCTGAACACCCTAACAGGGAAAACATTTTCTACAACGAGAATAATAACTAAAAAAAAAATCTATCACATTTTTTTCTCAGGTCTAATATTAAAATCACAGAACTCTAGAACTGTTTGAATTATTTGCTTGGGTAGTTTTACAAAAGAAAAGAGTCTATATATGTGTATATATGTACGCACTGGCTGAAGATGTGGCTCCATATACACTCTCCAAGTCTATTTCTATGACTTCTCCAAAACAACAGCAAGACTATATTTTGGATTCAACAGACACAGCAGTAATTTTCATCTCCCTGTTTTGGGGCCGAGGGATTTCAGATGGCAGGAAGGCATAGCTTATTTGTTGAAGGTAGATTATTATGTAATTTGGCTCACACAAAAACCCCCACGATAATCAAACCTGGCGTGTTTGTGAAGCTAAATTCCCCAAATCTCTGTGTAATGTAACAGCAATCTGTTGTTATGAGCTTTTGGACAAATCTGATCCTGGACTGATGACTTATAAGTCAAAGATCAGCTTGGGGCAAACGTGCTCCTCTATCACATGCAGTGCTAGGGAGGTATTTTCAAGTGTACCTTTTCCCCTCACTGTAACAGCACAACAGCTCGTGGTGACCTCCAGCTCAAGGATATTTTGTGGATACTTCACTCCCATTTATTATGGTGCCATAAATCCTGTTAGCCCGAGAACTAGTTTTAAGACATGTGAATTATGAACAAGAAAATTTAGCACATATTTGACCGTGTTACATTGCTGTGCTTTCTTCTCATTGGCTTTCCACGTGGAAATGTATTTAGGAGGACAGTGGACAGCAAAACAACCTCACAGCTCTTGCCTGGCAGGGAATACTTTCAGGGCACATCCCTGATGTGCAAAGAGGTCTCACATTAGTGATAACCCCAACCTGCCTGCACAGAAAAATCCCACCTTGGGTCTAGAGGCAAACATTATGCATCATTGCATTGAAACAAAACCTCTCCCAGGCAGCAATGAGCACTGCCAGATTGCTGGTTCTGCAACCAGAGCAGCTGCCAGGTATTTTCACAGGCTGATTCTTGGCTGTTTGTACCACTGGCTGTGGCATCCCCGAGACATCCATATTTTATTTCACAGCTTTTCCAGTAAGAGGCCCTTAATAATGAGATATAGAGAGTTTTGCCCAGAAATCTGCCTTTAAAAGGTGCCTTTTCAAGGATCAGTTGCACCAATCTTACCTTTTTTTTTTTTCTATCTTTCTTGCAAACACTCATGCAGGAATGGCAACAACAGTTTGTTCCTTTAAAGCACCACCCTTCCGAGAATGTCAACATGCTCTGGAAGGAATTACTAGGCCTCAGAGATCTGTGTCAGGTAATAAATGCTTTATCTCAGTTTCAACAAGGAGTTAGAAGTTGGGTGATTTACTCAAGGTCACACAGGAAGTCTGACAGCACTGTGAGTCTCATCTGTCCTTCTCACTATCTTCCTCCCAGATAAGCACTGAGAAATGTAGAGATACAGTGCTCAGAAAGAACTGCCTATATAAAATTCCATTAAGCAACAACATCTAGTGAGATAGCTGCCAACTATGCACTAATATATTAGCAGCAAATCCAATAAATCTTATTGTGCTAGCTGAAGAATTGATAAGGCAACACTGATGGCTAAACAGAGCTCCTGAAAGGCTGGTAATGAGCACTGGTGAAAATGGGAACACAGAGATAGATTAACCTGGAATTTACATGGAAAATTACATGGCTCCGAAAATGGAGAACTTGGAAGTATTTCCTAATAACGGAGAGCGGTGAATTAATTTCATCCTCACGCTGATGAACCAAAGGATTTTGCTGCTGCAAGTTGCCAAAACCCTACTGACACACGTTAAAATAACACAACTTTTCCTTCAAAATGCTATTCAACAATGACTCCAAAGATTGAGCTGTGTTGATTTAAGTGATTTTGAAGCCGCAATAAAAACGTACGGAACCGAACCGATGCCGGAAAACCTGGATCCTGGGAATCCTACTGCTCACACAGATCCCTCCAGGCCCTAGGGTGTGTTTGCAGGCCCCACAGAGTGTGCTGGTTGCTGCTGTTTGCCCAGCCCCTCTTACCTTGACCGCGTAGTTGTTGAGGGGGTCCTTGGCGTAGGACGCGGGGTAGTAGACCGCGTCGCCCGCCTCGCAGCACGGCTTGTCGCTGGTCAGCCTGAAATCTGACCAGCTGTCCACCCCGAAGCGCAGCTGGTCCTTCTGCCCAGCCATGAACAGGTCCTCACACTTGAGGGCCATCTTCCTCAGGGTGTCCGTGTGGAGGCTGCGGATCTTGCCCATCACCTCCTCCCGGTTCTCGATGCCTCGATAAAGTGCTTGTCTCTGTGGTTTCTGCACCCCCCTGCCCTGCTTGGCCTGCGAGACGCGTCTCCCCGTCAGCGACTCCATGCTGTTGGAGCACCTGTCCTTACCACCCAGAGTGGTCAGGCTGGAAACACTGTTAGTTGCTGAGGTGGCTGCCCTTAGTTTTTCTGTCGGCCTGTCCAAGGAGTCTCCTGATTCATTGTCCAGCACCTTGAGCTCCAGGCTGACTGAGGAGCAGGCACTGCTTGCTTCCCAGTTGGTGTCAATGTCATAGGTGGGATTGGCCATGATGCAGGGGTTGTTCTCCAGAGCCTGCTTCTGGAGTTCTCTGGGAGTGGGCTCCGTGTTAGCTCTCAGAATTGTTTTCTTTGGCAGTGGAGGTGGTGTTGGCTGCAAGCTGTTCATGGTCTCCTGGTCTACTAGTCCTCCAAAGGCAATGGCATCATCCAAAGCTCCCTTCGGCTGCCTCGGCTGCTTCGGAGGGATCATGGCTGCTCTGGACTGTCCTGTGTGATACGAAGATAGTAGTAAGAGAAGGTTAAAGTACTTTGCATCTGCTGCTCATACTTGCACTCTGCAAAGAATCATAGAATCATCAAGGTTGGAAGAGACCTCTAAGATCGAGTCCAACCACTGAAGAAGTTCAAGGCAAATAAAAAAAAGCTGACTAGAACTCATCCAATATTTCAAAAAACCCCTAACTCCATCCATGAAAAGAACTAATAAGAAAGCAAAATGAGCAAACCAGCATCACACATATTTCATGGCATCCAGCCAGTCCTGATTTGACCGTGGCATACCTATTAAAACCAGTTTTCAGTGCTGCTGTTTTACATCCCATCGGATCACAACAACAAGGGCAAGCAAAAACCAAACATTAGTTTGGCACTCTGGCCAAAGTCCAGTTTCAATTACCCTCAGCCTCCTGTAATTCCTTCTGCAGTCAACTGGCTGTGAGACTATTCTTACTTCCTACTCCAACGGGCTAAAACTTGGTGGAGAGTAGTCCATAAAGCAACTGGGAAATGTGCCAGAGAGGCTGAAAATGTTATTTCAGAATGGAAACCATAAACCTTCAGACACAAATAATGTAGTTTAGATACTCTGGTGGTCATGTCAGAAAGACAGGATTGCCCCAGCAGATTCCCCAGGTGGAAGCAAGGCAGCTAAGTCTACTTTCACTCCAGCTGACAAGTGTGTTCCCATTGAGAGTAGGATCATGTTTTGACAGAAGTATTTTTTACCTTTCAGTTTCAAACCCATTCCCCCAGCCCTAACCATAGCACTCTCTAATATATTTCCCTTTTTCACTTTCTGTGGGTACCTGTGTTGGCAACATTATGTTCACAGATAACCTGACCTGGCTTCAGTCACAAGATCCTGAAGGGCAGGTTACATCCACACACACACACACCTTCCACTGACAGTCTGGGTTTGGACATTTGTGTGAATCCAGGCAAGATAAACTTCCTGTCATGTGTTTGGGATGGCTTTTATAGAGGACAATTATGTTTTATAAGTGCCAGACTCCTCGGAAATGAAGAATAAATAAATGACAATAATAAAATGGAGAATAAAAACCAACAAACAGATAATATAAATGACCAACTTGCTGCTCTGGGACAATTAAACAGGTGTTACTCATATCAAAATGAGATCTTTCCATTCTTAATAATCAACTTCTCTTCTCTGAGAAATTATTTTATAAGCTTTCTGCTGCTCTGGGAGGTTCACTGACTACCAAGGTAAGGTAGGAAGCCAATTCTTGCAGTTGCAACACAGCAGACTGAATAATTGCAGCTGAGCATCTTTTCTAGTAAGGGAACAGACACTGTGACTATTTGAATGTTTGTAACATGTTGAATCATAGAATTGTTTAGGCTGGAAAAGACCTTTAAGATCACTGAGTCCAATTTGAACCTACCACTGCCAAGCCAACCAAAGCCCTGTAATGAGAGGACTGCAGCAGAATGCTGAACTGAACTGGAGGATCTCAGACTCAGACCTGAATTACATCACTTTGGACCATTCTTAATACTAAATGACTTTGCACTCTATGAAAACTAAAAATTCCTTTTCAGCTAAAATGTGTTGTTACAGTTTTTATGAATACTGCAGAATCCAAGACCCACTTGGCCAGGATGCACAAACCCCTGGAATGCTGGGTTAGAATGCTGAAATGTGCTTCCTAATTTCAGCTCAGAGAGGATTGTATCTTCCTATGAATCCACAAACAGAACAGCCTTGGCTCCTGCTGTCTTAACAGTCATTCCATCTTCAGTCATTCCAAGGAAACGATATCACAAATGAAAGTTCTATCTCTATCTTTTGTTTAAGCTCCAGAAACCCTCAGAAGAGCCTTATGGATTTCAGGATAAGCCTGGCTAGTCCAGTGTTTAAAACACCTGAATTTGGAGCAGGAAATTCTATCAGCTTGGTACATATCTGATCTTCAGGGAAGATTTCAAGTCATTGTCAAGGTTCTTAAAAACAAGCAACTCAGGGGAGTCTAGTGCTCCTCTGTGATCTTGGGACTGCAGTGACTGTGCTCTACAGCTGCAGCTCTTCCCCTCTCTGCTGTGCTGCAGCACAGAGCAGTGCTGCCAGCTGGGCAGCACAGAACTCTGTCAGAAAGGTTCCTTTTGCAGAGGTGAAGAGTGGTATGACTCAGAGTCGAAAGCAGAACTGATGTCTGCATGCCAGACACACATCCAGATGCCACAGCCTTTTGCTTAATCCTGAGTCAAGTTCATTTCCACTTTGTATCCAATTTTCTTACTCATCCAAACATGTGTCCTTTTCCTCAATGCCTTCCTCTTACAAAACCTGTGACCTATGTACTTCTCCCCAGCAACACTCTGTGTTAAAGATCACTGGCCTGTTTTCTCATCCTTCCCCTCTTCCCCACTGTTCTCAGACAGCCTCACTGCTGGGGTTGCTGCAGGAGGCATTTCCTAATCTGCCCTTCTTGTGGGACTTGCTAACCCCAGGACTGCACAGATGCTAGAGGGAAACAGCCAGGGAACAAATGAGAGCAAGATGCACACCCAAGCAGAGGCAGAAGAAGTTCTCACCAGGACAGGTAAGATTTATAACAGTGTCTCTTGTTTTCTGTCTGCTTCACTGGGCCTGTCCTCCAAAAGCCACTCATACAGAAAAGTGTTGTGACTGCAACTAGTGTTGCTTTTGCAACATCAAAACAGACTTGGAGAAGGTTGTCATAACCAGCAGTTGGTTTTGCAGATGTCTGGAGGGGGTGGCAAGACCCAGAGAACTGCATGTACAAGTAATTCTGTAGGTCCTTTTTCAAGTCTTCTCAGCTGAGGAAAATGAGTTTGCTGTGTTACAGTTTCTCCCCATGAAAACAACTTTTCCAAATTGAAATCTACCCATCTGTATCACACAGTTGAAAAGCTTCATGTCTGGAGTGTTTCTATGCTGAGCCCTTAACAATGTACCTTTCTTTCATACCCACTGGGTGAGTCTTCCCAGCTCAGCTTTCCCCAAGCATGGCAGGAAACTGCACATCCCACACTGCCTAGCAAGAAAAAGGTTGTCTTAAATGTTGTCCCTGTCAAAGCCACAAGAATTTTCTTTTGCATACAGGTACTGGCAGAGCATTTCTTTCTTTCTCTTGCCTGTCCTCCCCCTTGCTTGCTCCAAACCATTGTCTCCTTACCTACTGCAGAGACTCTCCAACACTGCAAGGCTCAGCCTGAGCTACACTCTGGGGAGGCAAATGAAAAGGAGGAACAGGCACAGTATTAGGCTACCACTCACAGAGATCTTTGAAGTGGCTTCCAGACTGCTCACTGACAGAAAAAAAATTTAACTCTTTACAGGCAGCAGCTTTCTAGAGAGCTCTAAGTAATTCTATGGTTCAATAACATCTTCCATTACAGAATCTCAGTGCACTATTTAAATATTAATGCTTCAGTCTCCAGACACCATGCAGAGGTCTGAAACTTTAAATGAGCTCTGAAAAAAGGCATTTAAATTTTATTTTTTCTGGGTAACTGATTTATCACCAGACTTGGCATTGCAGCCTGATTATGTTAGCTGGAGAAATCTGACATTACTCTTTAATAACCTCTTACCCTGACTGATAAAAATAACCAAACCATGAAAAAAAACCCCCACAAATGCATAAAGTACCTTCCAGCTACTGCAAAAACTACCAGCAAACTTCACAGCCCCAGCTGCAACAAATGCTGTACATTGAATCATAGAATTTAAGGGTTGGAATGGACCTTACAGATCATCCAGTCCCAACCCCTGCCCTGGGCAGGGACACCTCCCACCAGAACAGGTTGCTCAAGGCTCATCCAACCTGGCCCTGAACACTGCCAGGGTTGGGGCAGCCACAGCCTCCCTGGGCAACCTGTGCCAGTGTCTCACCACCCTTATGTGAACCCTCCCTGGCTTCAGTTTGAACCCATTACCCCTTATTCTATCACTGCAGTTCTTACAAGTACACCACTATTTCACAGAACTGTTCAGGACACAGATTTCCATGAAATCCTGTGCTGTACTTGGTTGTTTACACATTTACTGTTCATTTCATAGACAAAAACCTTCCCAGAATGGTAATACATGGGAAAGAACTGAAAGCTAACATTTGTTAAGTGACACTCCTGATGCACCTCCAGTTTCTCAGCAGAACTTTGAGACTGGGCACAGGTCTCTGGTACTGGTTGTGGGTCCCAGGAGCTTCAGCTTGGCTGCTTGGTGACTTGGCATGTCTTGCTGCTCACCCTCCACTGAACCGTGTTAAAGATACTACCTGTGCTAATTATACATGCTAAAAAACTATCAGACTGATGCTCTAATCACTGTGTGTCACTGAACTGTCAGTTTTAGCCAGCAATGGTTTCCTTACCTTATTTCCAGCCCTGCTGAAGCACACTGACCTGCTCTGACTGACTTAGGCAATGCTCCATGGCATTGTGACTGGGATTTTTTCCAAGGTCTGCAACCCTGAATCTAGAAATTTAGCCTTCTTTTTTCACACTTCCTTAGGTGTATAGAGAAAAATAGCTGATAATGAAGTAACCTTTTTTCAATGACAGAAATACTACCCTGAGTATACTGAGAATACCTTAATCTACTTACAGTGATGCAAATTCAATCAAGACAATTTCCCCAACAAATCCTGACAAAGACAGAACAATTGAAAGATTTGTAAAGGAAAGGCTTTTAATTTTCTAGTCTATTGTCTTCCTTATCATCAGCTACAGAGCTTACCTGAATTAACTTCTGTTAGAACAAAGGCAGCCCTTACAGAAAGAAACATCCAGGCCCTGTCTCACACATGTGAACATTTGTTTCTGTGTCTCAGTTCGACTGGCAGCCCTGGACTTTGTTCAGTCAGTTGATACCACAGCTCTCCCTCATGACAGTTCTGCTCCCCCCATGAGCATCCACACCGTGCTCGAGCCAGACTCCTGCTTTGATAACTGAACAGATCCAACTCCTTGAGTTACTCCCTCTTAAGTGCCTGCTACAGCTTTTGCAGAGCTTCTCCTTAGAGCCTGTACATTTTTTTTTCAACATTCTTCTCAAACTGCAGGCATCAGAGCTCGACTCTGACCACAGCAGATGCAGGGGAAAAATGAGATATACAAAACCTCCCTCCTCCTACTGAAGTTTCTTCCTATTTCTGCAGTCAGGAACATACTGGGCCCTTTTATCCTATCATTATGGTGGGACCCATAGCAGCCTCACATCACTGCAGTGTTCACAGCCAGGTTGGATGAGCCTGGTGGGAGGTGTCCCTGCCCAGGACAGGGGGTTGGCACTGGATGATCTCTAAGCTCCATTCCAACTCCTTGTTGTCCCTGATTCCCAGAGGAGAATCCTCTGTTTAGTAAGGTTTTCCCCTTGGAAGGCCAAAGCCAATATATTTGAGGGCAGTACCTGATATAAACTACTACCTGACTGCAGATGACAATTTAGCAAAGTTTGTCATTATTTCTGGTCATGAAATTTCCTGTGACATCTCAGAACTGAAGATCAGACATTTACCAAAGCAATGACATATTATCTGCCTTTCAGTAAAACCCACAGACTTCACATCAGCTTAGTATTTACATGAACATTGTGCATTTTGCTGCCAATGGAGATGTTCACAGTACAAACAACAAACTGCAGTGTGTAGCTGTAACTGCAGCTAAAGCAAGAGTCAAATGTGATGTAACTTCTCATATTATCCTTTCCCTCAGTTTCACATACCAGTATTTGTTCATTCCACAAAAGATAGATTTTGCTGCCTAGGTGATGCAAGATGTGAGAACAAGTAGGAATTATTCTCTGTCCCTACCTAGAAATCTCTCTGTAGCCATCCAAACTAGAAAGAGAGCTTGCTTGAATAAACCAGAAAACCTTTGAACAGCAGCCAGAGAACTCAGTGCCATTTAGGGTAGCATTGCTTCCAACAACAGGCACTGAGCTTGTGAGCCAGACTCAGGCAAGCCTCGAGGCTAACTTAACTCTTTCAGACCTCAAATGTAATTTGGGGACAGCAAGTGATCCAAGGATGAGGAGAAGATTTTGACTAAACTGCTGAGGAGGTGTTTTGTCATGGTTTTAAGAAGGAACCTTCAAACTTGGTAACAGCACTTGGTAACAGCACAACAACCCAGGACTGATGGGAGAGATCACCACAAAGATTCAAAGAACCATAGAATTTAAGGATTGGAGTGAACCTTAGAGATCATCTAGTCCCAGTCCCCTGCCCTGGGCAGGGACATCTCCTCACTAGACCAGGATGCTCAAGGCTTCATCCAACCTGGCCTTGAACACTGCCAGGGTCGGGGCAGCCACAGCCTCCCTGGGCAACCTGTGCCAGTGATGGTATTTTACCACATGGGCTAAACATGCTGTAAGTAGTTCTGATGTAGCTAGATCTACTGCCTGGATTCTGTCTGTGATGTAGCTATCTCCTAAATACCTTAAATATACATATCTCACTAAACTGAAAATAATTCATTAGCTCTTTGAGTAATCCACCATAAAATTATCAATGTTAGCTTTCCTCCTTGAGGTTAGTTTCTTGCTGGATGTTAGTCTCACTCTTGGGTGGGATATTTTTCCCCCATTATGCTTTATAAACAATACTTAATGTTTTAATAGCAGAAAACACTAACGACTTCATCACTAATTCACATCTAAGCAAAACAATGCAAGGATACCACTGAAAGCCTAAGGAATGTGTGCACCTGAGGGTTTAAAGCTTAGTCCTTGATCCCTGAAACCTGTGTGGACACGCCAAGCCCCTGCACTCTGAGCCATCCCAAGGCACTCACTTTACTCTTGGCCCAACACTTTGTGAGTTAGTATTGCTTACAGGATTGGGTGTTACTGAAAAACATGTGTTCAGGTATCCTTGAGCATAAATGAATGAGAGATTTTGTTCTTCTGGAAAATGTGGCTGGAAGTATTGCTGAATTCACAGCATTTCCAATCAAAGTGCTTTAGAAAATTGGGCTGATGATACTGATACTGGGTATCAGGAGATGCTTATTTGTCTTGCTCCCTTATCTTCCAGAAAAGCCCTGAATCCATGTATCTGTTTAATATGAGTCAAGAATTCAGTAAGTGTTGCACTGCACCTTCAGGACATTCATATCTTATTCTGAAGGAAACTCTCAGACTGGGATAAGAGAGGTTTGAGTCAACAACAGATGGTTACCAATATTTCAGCAGTTCCTGATGCCCTAAAATAAAAAGTCCTTTCTTTTCTTGAAGTTTGGGAAAATATTGAAATCAACTTATTGTTTCTAAAGAAATTAGGTCACCTGCTCTGCATTTGAAACCTGATTAAAATTCCTCCAAACAGATACAACAAAGTGTCTTTTAAAATCGCTTGAGATGTTTATCATTACAGGCAATTAAGACTGTTTCAAATGACAGGAAAACAAACCTTTGAGTTTGTTGAATCTTCAATTCCTTGGTTGTGATCTAAGAATGAAGAACCATACCTTTATTTCCTATAAACCAATATTAAAAGCTTAGTACTTAAAATCTCCCCTTCAGAAGACACACTGAGCTGTTCAGAACAAAAGGTTCTTCACACCCTGCAAAGGTATCCAAAATCAGACCTGATTTCTATATTCCTCTGTGAGAGTCACTTACCTAAGTTGCTGTAGGTAGCACTGCAGGGATTTAAGTCAGGAGAACGTGGAGTCTCCTCTTTTTCCTCCTCCCCCTGTGGGAGCCGGGCCGAGGACACCGGGATGACGGAGGCACTGCCACCATTGTCCTGTTTCACAAACACAGCTCTGGGGACACGAGGGGACAAGTCCTCCAAGGTCGTGTCATCGGGCACTTGACTGCAACAAACAGAGCAAAATCACCTGGAGAGCAAAGCTGGGGCCTAGACCCTCCTGCAAAATGCCACATTAGGCATTTCGTAGCTTCAGGAAAGGGAACTGCTAAGTTCTTTCACCTTCCTTTGTGCAGAACAACTTTCTTGTTCTTTATGAGAAGAAACAACTCATGACTGAAATAGCAACACAGAGTAGTTCATGCCTGTGGTGTAAAAGGGATGATAGAACGTTTTGCAGCTACAACCATGTCCAAAGGCATAAATATGCAGGGATGATCGTGGGGAGAACGTGTGGGACTCGGGACAGCAGCAGAGCTGGAGGTGCTTTTTACCCATGGGAACAACTGTGCTTTGACCAAAGGTAACAGGGTACAGCAAAGGGGGACTCAGTCTCAACAAATGCATCTAACTTTAATGCAACATTTTCACATCCTGGTAGGATTTTGGGAACTGACACTTTGGGAAACAGAGCTCATCTAAGCCAGAAATCTATTTGCTGTATAAATTTCTCCAGGATTAAAATCTATCTGCATTAGGCCAACTGTGAAAGGCCACCAAGACATTCCTCTGTGCCTGCTCTTAGCTGTGAAGTTTTAATCAAACTGTGATGACTTACAGCACAAAACTCTGAAAATCATGGATTCAATTGGTTTGCCATGGATATATTTATTGCAGCGTAATTTAAAAATTATGCATTGTATGTCTGAAAAAAGTGTTGAGATTTAATAAAAACCTCACAATTCTACTGAAAATATAGCAGCAATTATCAATAATATGCCACAAAAACATGTCAGAGCAAAAATATTTCCAAGCCTTTATGTTCTCTCACTTGCAGAAACAAATACTCATTAGAGCCAAATGTGGATAGTTCTCATTGC